ATGGTACAATAAAATGTTTATGTTGTATATACCTATCTAATACCTATATTAGATAATAAAATTTTATAATAATTTTTTGTATCTCGTTTTAACAGGTCACTTGAAAGTTGAGATTATGAAATATTCATTGTGTGTTATATTGTGGATTGGTAAATGTAGTTACAATCACTACAATAAATAATGATTAATAATTATTAGTTACTATAAATTAGCTGATTATATGTTTTATTTATAATTAGATTCAAGTTTACAAAATACATACTTAGATAGTATTAGCGTATATAGGTTTATGTCAGTTAAATTTAAAATTATAACTATACATTAATAATTTTATTATGGTCGTAAAATAAATTTTTTCATGTCAATATTAGAAATTATTTAAAAATATTTTAATTTCGGGTTTATAATATTAGATCATAAATTTATAAATACTTTGTTTAAATGATTAGTTTAGTTATATAATTGTCATATGCATAGTGTTGAATAATGTGAAACAATGAATTTAGTGTATAATTAAATTTGAAAAATTGTTTTATAATATAGTAAGTACCTACATACATAATTGACCTACCTATTAACTTTTTTTTATCTAAAATTAAACAAACATATTAGTTTGTTCAATTAATTAATAATTATTCATTTTCCATACATTTTCATAGCCTCTTTTAGTACATCACTTGTAACATGTAATGTAGCAGGTACACACATAAATATTTATAATTAATTAATAATTATTCATTTTCCATACATTTTCATAGCCTCTTTTAGTACATCACTTGTAACATGTAATGTAGCAGGTACACACATAAATATTTATAATTAATTAATAATTATTCATTTAACTGACAATAATTATATCCATCTAAATATATTATTATAGGTATATTTTTTCCACTGTAGAAGTCGTCGCGAAATCGTTTAATCGTTTGTAAGTCTTTACTATTTACTCATACTTGTATATTATCTAATTTTTTAACGAAAATATGATAATATTCATGTTTTCTATTAATTGTGCTTGTATACACAGAGCTGTTATTAATACGAAACAATACTTTTAATTACACTTAATATAACACATAATAAATAACTATAATATCATTTAACTAYACTAATTCACAATATTTCATTGATTTCTTAGAATTTTTTGTTGGCCAATAAATTGCTAATAAATACTAATTTGGCCATATAACATGTAATGATTTGATAATTAGAAGCAGTGGCGTCCGCAGAGGGGGGGGGCTAACGGGCTGAAGCCCCCCCCCCCTATTGCCCTCATAAGTATTACTTTAAAAAAAATGTATCAAACTTCAACTGTCGTCAGCTATAGTAAGCAAGACGAAAATTAATAAACGTCTTACCAGAATAAATTCTTTAAAAAAAAAACATTGATTTGCATACCAATTCTCCTAAAAAAAATAGTAATTTTTTGGTAAAAGTATGAACTACACTTGTATGAATGACCTGTATTGAATTTTCAAGCCTTAGCTATACAAATTTAATATTTTATAAATTTTAATCTACAARTTAATTTTTGTGGTTTTGTCAAAAATTGGACTATAAATGCTTATAAAAAATAATCGTGCCTATATGTGTCGTTAATATTTTTAGATAACTAGGTATAATAAAACCTTGTATTACATTTTAAAGCTTTTTGACCGAACGAATAATTTTTTATTGACATTTTTAGAAAAAAAACCAAGGYTATTAAACAATTTTTCATTTATTTTTGTTTTCCAGATTGTTTTAAAAAATACTTAGAATTTTTAATTTTGACCTCTCAAATTTCAAACTAAATAATCCAATTTGCTTCCAAAAAACCCTATCGAGTTTTATGATTAGAGAATTTTTTCTACTAGAAAAGTTGAGAAGTTGATGTTTTACAAACATTTTCAAATACCTCACCTAAACGTATACAATTATTTGAATGGACAAAATAAAAAT